GTCTGTGGACTCTCTGCCTTACGAGTGCACAAGAATGCGCAGTGTCTCTGAATGATGTGCTGCATTCATTACTCGGTGTTATGATTGGCAGGTTCACCTATGAGATCGCCCCGGTGTTTGTGTTGATGGAACAGCTGACTCTGAAGAAAATGAGAGAGATGATCGGTTGGCCAAACGGAGAGGGTGACGGCCTCTTTTCCCCAGGTCGGTCTGTAAATCACACTACCCATGTATAGCCAATATTCATATTACTGTATGACTTTTGGTCCAAATATTCCACGTGCATGTACGCTGCACAGACTGTGTGCTGCTGTCCAGGGTACTGATGTGTGTGCGGTGTGCTTAACAGGGGGTGCTATCTCCAACATGTACAGTGTGATGATCGCACGGTACAAGTATTTCCCAGAGGTGAAGACCAAGGGCATGTCTGCTGCTCCCCGCCTTGTCCTTTTCACATCTGAGCATGTAAGTGACCACACACACACACACACACACACACTGTACATCTCAGGTAATCTAACAATGCAGATAAGCTGCTTCATTGACTGTAGATTAATCAAAGTCAGGGAATAAGCAGTAGGTCTGTTTAAATCAGGGCACTGGCTGTTTCAATTCATTCATTATTTTAGTATTTTTGTATTTTGAATTTGACAACTTGACAGAGAGCAGGAAAAATGTCAAGCAACAATGAGCTCTCAAAATATCCCCCCTTTTTTGAATTCAGAGGTATTTCATTGCTATGTGTCCCCACAGAGCCACTACTCCATAAAGAAGGCTGGAGCTGCGCTGGGCTTCGGCACTGAGAACGTGATCCTGCTCAGCACGGATGAGAGGTTTGTAATCGTTGCAGAAATCATCTGATGAATACTGCATGTGCAACATGTAGATCCACAGCGATTCCATGCTGCTCTGCTCGTTTTCAGAGGGAGAGTCATTCCTGCGGATTTGGAAGCCAAAATCCTCGACGCTAAACAGAAGGTCAGGGTTTTTTTTCCCCTTTTATTTTTTTAATATAACTGCATCTCCATGTACTTTTATCTCTAACCACATTTCTTTTCATCTATCCTGGGTACTACATCTGCAGGGTTATGTGCCATTGTTTGTGAATGCAACAGCTGGTTCAACCGTGTATGGAGCATTTGACCCCATCAATGAGATTGCTGACATTTGTGAGAAGTATAACTTGTGGCTCCATGTTGATGTGAGTAGTTTGCAGTAGTGATGATAGCAGTAGCTTCAGTGCATCCTCCACTTCTTTAACAGTACTGTTTTATCTCGTTAGGGTGCGTGGGGTGGTGGACTGCTGATGTCTAGGAAGCATCGCCATAAGCTTAATGGAGTTGAGAGGTGAGCACATGGGAACTGATAAGCTGCTGTGTGTTGCTATTTAAAAGAAACCTCAGCGTGCTAACGATAGCACTGACAACACGTTTTGCAGGGCCAACTCTGTCACATGGAACCCACACAAGATGATGGGTGTGCCTCTGCAGTGTTCAGCAATCCTGGTCAGAGAAAAGGTACAGGAACACACACAC